TTACGAAAATTGTACATTTTTTTTTTATGGATCAGTACTTGACAAACTATTTTTTTTTGTAACTATTTGTGATGTTAGAATTAATAAAAAGGTGGCGTGTTGTATTCTTCAATAAAATGACATAATAGCATTATTCTATAGGTTGTAAAAGGCACAGATTGGGTTGTTACGGGACAGACCTGCCTGGCTCCATAGTCGACCTGAAATCTGAGAACTGGTCAGTTCCAAATAATGATTCAAGCAGGGATGGATTCAGGATTACAATGCTTAATTGAGTCGAAAAAAAATGAACATCAGGAAATTGAATTGTCTAGAATTGTTTTCTTGGGAATTGTAAATTAATTGTGTTTGATTGGTATAATTTTCCACGTGGTAAATATTTAAATTTTGGATTTTTCGTGTTCGTTTGACTTTGTTTTTTACGTAAATTATTCATTAAAATGAATTTTTTTTTAATAATTGGTGATAAAATTTGTGTCCATTGCCAAAATAATAATAATAATAATAATAACCTGGAAACCATATTCCCACCAAGATGGTTTCAAGATGGTTTCCTTCATTTCATTCAATTGGTGCACGTGTGGGGGTGGGTGGAATTAGTTTTCCATGGCAAACAAAACCCTTCAAACAACAATATCCATACCAACAAAATATATACAAAGTATTGGCTTTTTCTCCTTTTATCCCTCATTATCTTCTCTTATTCTTGTCAATAGTGTGAATATAATTAATCAAGTCTTTTATGTCCCCCTAATAGAATTTTTGAAAGAAACCCATAATTTGGAATACTTGCTAATCAATAGAGGATTGAAGATAAGAATAAGAAGAAAAAAACCGGAAACATAAGTATGACTATAATTAAAGTAAAAGACATTTAACACAATTAAAATGTAGTGCGCTTATTAAACTCATTAGTGTCGATACAGTCACCCAATGTTTAAACCTCATTTCTACATATGTAATTAGTTTTCACAAGAAGGGGGGATAACCAAATGGTCATTGAACTTTGTAAAGTGTTTCCACGAAGTCATTGAACTTTAAAAATCGCAATATTCATCACCATACTTTACAATTTGTAATCTCATTCATCATTGATCTCACGATTCGCCAAAAATTTGACGAAATGCTAATGTGGGTGTGTGTGGCATTATGACTCAATTGATTTACATCTCCATAAGCAGCCATGTGAGGTTAGTGATGAACAAGATTACGAATTGTAAAGTTTAGTGATGAATGTGGTGATTTTTAAAGTTCGAATATTTCGTGAAAATCTTTTGCAAAGTTCAATGAGCATTTAGGTCATTATCCACACATTTTTCAATTAAATAATATTATACGTAAACCTAAATTTTTTTCTATTTTTTCTATTTTACATTTTTCAAAAAATTACTCTTTCAAAATATATTTTCCATTTCTTTCTACAAATAAAAAAAAAATGAAAGAAAAAGGTCTTGGAAAAATTAACAGTGGCCAGAAAAAAGCCATGACTAATAGTTCATTTTCAACCATACATTCCCCAAAAAATCACTATTTCAAAATTTATTTTTCAGGACTTTTTTTTTTGTAGAGAGAATGGAAAAATGTATTTTGGAACAGTGATTTTTTGGAGAATGTTATTAAAAATAAGATTTTTTTTTTGGATTTACGTGTAATATTATTTTATTAAAAAATGTGTGGGTAATAACCTAAATGGTCACTGAATTTTGCAAAGGGTTTCTAAGGGATAATCGAACTTTAAATATCACATCATTCATCGCTAAATTTTACAATTTATAATTTCGTTCATCACCGACTTCTCATGATTGCATACGTGGATGCTAAATCGGCTGAGACATATGCCACATAAGCAACCATGTCAGCATTCCGTCAAATTTTTGACTGACCAAAAGGTCAATGATGAACGGGATTACTAATTACAAAGTTTAATGATAAATGTGGTGACTTTTAACATTTTGTGATCCCCTGAAAACCTTATGCAA